TACGTCTACCAGTATTTCAGATAGCATTAGTTATGAATCAAAGCATACGGCCCCACATATCAGAGAATGTAATAACTTCAAGTCTGAGGATAGTTATAGCAAGGTCGATTTGAGAATACTGATAAACACATTACTGTAGATCCATGCAGTATTCTCAAGATGGGTCAATCCAGTCACATATTATCGATATAATATGCACCTACGTACAGATTAAGATATCACAATACCTATAGTCTATGAGACACAACTATCTCATCTCGTACGTACTAGTCTTGATACGTTATGACGTCCGTATTATCATAAAGTGCGACTAGGGATATTCTAGACATAGCCTTCGTCAAGAAGTAACAGTCTCATAATCAGAACATCGTAGTCCTCATCTATGTTACTTAAGCGCTATCGTCTATGGACTGAAGCTATGTTATGTTACACGAGATATAAAACATACTTCAAGGCCTTTCATTCATGATAAAGTGTACAGTTACATACGTATTTGATTGCTGCTAGGGCACCTAAATACAACAATAGTGATCTGTCGGGTGGGTGATATCCGTTCTACATCCCGTACGTACGTTTTAACCCGAAACATGAATTGGTCAAGGAGGTATATCTTAGAGTTCTTCTAGATATCCTTAATAATCATCATCATTTTTAATGTACAAACTCATATTTTATTGTTCTTAATTAATTGGTATCAAAAATATGATTTTAGAGCATATTTTCAGGATCTGGACTTTAGGAAAATTGATTATTTCATTTAAAATAACCAATTAAATTATAAAAATCGATTTATATAATTTAAATAATCTATTAATTCATAAAAATCGATTTTTGCTTGAAAAATAATCCATTAAATCAATAAAATTGATTTTTGCTTGAAAAATAATTAATTAAATCAATAAAATCGATTTTTGATTTAAAAATAATCCATTAATGAGTAAACATCGATTTTTGCTTTAGGAAAAATCGATTAAACATTAAAAATCGATTTGGTCTTTATGAATAATCGATTTGTTCTTGATAAATGGGTACTGACTTAAAACATCTCGTCTAAACAAAGTTTTAATCGCTTTTTAGGAAGATAATAATCGATTTTCGGTCACTGTTCATCGTCTTCTTCCTTCGGTCCATTTCTAGAAATATCAATTTTAGTTACCAAACTTCAATTAAACTATATAGAAATGTTCTCCAAGGTTCATAGATCATTTTAGAATCATCAAAACATATTTTTAACATCAAATTCAAGGTTTATGATTCTTGGTTATTCAAACATGTCAAACACAAAACTCAACCAAATGACCATTTATGAACATAAAAACAACCTATATGAACATTCTAATCTTTAGATATATCTACGGGCTTACCTCGAAGCTTAATGGAGGTTTTGAGAATTTTCCGACGAAACGTCCAGCGACGATAACTCTCAACTCCGGCGACCTCACACCAATACGACAGCACCACTGCGTTCTCCTTACTCCCAGCAACAGAATAGATATAAGGATTGTATGAGATGGTGGGGAATTGGAGGAGTGAAGGTCGTCTTATATAGGGAAGAAAAGGAGGAAGAGGCCATGCTGCTGATGAAAGTTTCCCTGTTTAGGCCGCTGAGTGGAGCGGACGGCCGATTCCTGCGATTCCAAACGCAAGTCCCTGATTGGGACCAATTTTGGTTCCAGTCGGGGTACAGTTTTTGGTCCAACTTTCTTCGAATTGAATTCCATTTGCACCGTTGCGATCGGACAGTCCAACTCTCCTTGTTTGTTTCCCCTGTGGTTCCAGGGAAACCACCGACACATGTAGACTCATTGCCCAGTTCTTCCGTTGGGAGGAAGTATCCCCGCCTTCTAGGCCGGGAACGATCATTTCGATAAACTCCTTCTCCGGCTTATTGTTATCCTTCCTAGATATTCTCCTTCCCTGGTCTTTTTTCCTAAGGACGGGTCCAGGTGTTCGCTTTTAGGTCCTTCTTCTTCCCCGTCGCATAACCTTCCCCCAGCTCTGCCCTCAAGGCCATCTCCTTGAGCATGGCCTTGACATTTCGGCAGTCCACCGCCGTATTGTGGGAGTCAGATTGGTGGTAGGTACACCACTTCTCCGTCCAAGGCCTCTTGGGTTGTTCTCCCTTCTTCTCGTCCCTTATTTGATGGACAGACTCGTCATATGTGGCTTTTGGTTTGGATCCTCCCGTCTGGTCGTCCCTCTTCGGCTTATCGGCTTTCACCCTTGTATCGCCTTCCTCCAATTCCCGCTTGCTCTTATTCAAGACCTCCGCCTCGGAATACTCCCATGCCGTATTGGAGGCTTCTTGGTAAGAGGAGGGTGGCCTCCTACAGAATTCGGTGTAGAGATCACCCGACCGGAAGGCATTCATTAGCAAAGACATGGCCGTTTTGTCGTCCATCTCTTCTACCTTATCGACCTCGTCCCTCCAGCGGGTCATGAACTGAATCAAGGACTCCTTCTCCCTTTGCCCTACCGTGTTTAGGTAGGTGAATTTCTTTCTTTTAATGCAGTTGTCCTGGTACTTCTTGCGGAAAACTTCGAGAAGTTTTCAAAGGACCCAATTCTTCCATGGGGAAGGCCGTTAAACCATTCCACTGGTCTCCCTCTCAAGGATGAGAAGAAGAGCAAACACTCCTTAACATCAGTGCACCCGGCCATCTGTGCTGCATTGTGGAAGGTGTCAAGGTGGACGTTTGGATCCTCCTTTCCTGTGAACTTCTCCATGTACAGCTTGACCTTCTGCCTCAGTTTATGTGCATGTACCCTGGCCGAAAAAGGGGATTTTGCCAGGGTATGCTTCTTTGCTCCCACCTTCTCTTCTACCTTTTCTTCTAGGGCACGCAGCTTTCTCGCTACTCTCCCTATCTTGTCCAGATCATCCTTATCGTATGAGAGCCTGGTATATGCCGATGCTTTGGGTTGGCTTTCAGCTTCCTCCTCGTCTAGGTGAATCGTCTCAGATTCCCTAGAACGACGAGATTGGGTGGGACGACTCCACCAAGTCTTTCCATTGCGCTAGTCCGGCCCATCTCAGGACCAAGACGTAGCTTGGCAGACTTGCGGGGTCCATCCTCTTTGTCCCCTAGGCGTTTGAACGCCGAATCTCGGGTCTTGCTGGGTTTGGCTATAGCCTTACCCTTCCTCCTGCGGGCCGCCTCCTACTCCGCCTCATCGACCTCATGGACATTTGAGGGCGCTGCTTCATTCATGGTCCTCATTAGATTCACCGAACGTATAGGGACCATTCTAGGAACGAATGTCGACGGGGTCGAAACCGGGGGTGCCATAGGACTCATGACTGGTGGCATCATGCCAGGATAGGAAAACGGAATGAAGCCCCTAGCCTGTTGCATCATGGCCATCACCTGTTGATAGCCATGTAGAGCCTGAGCATTCGCCGGGTCAGCAGCAAATTGAGCCCAACTTGATGGATATGGTGTGAATGCTCCCCCAGGCTGTTATCGAGCCTGGGAACATTGTTGTCGTTGGCGTAGGAGTAGGGGTGGACATGATTGGGATCATGCCAATCGATCCTACTGTAACGCCCCAAAACATACCCTAAAATTTTTAATGAATAAATATTCAATTAGTCAAATTTGTTTCGATTAAAATAAATAGTTATTGGGCTTTGGGCCGAAATGAAATTTGTTTTGACATCCAATATCACAAATCAGGATAAGTCTCATAAAGATAAATCCAATATGTTGACTAATTGGGTAATCTTGGTTGGAAACCAGAGTAAAGACCCAAATCAAGAATAAATTAAAAAATTTACTTATGATGTAAATATTAAAATGATTTATTAAAATAAATCATGAAAATGAATGATATGAATTAAATGAGAGAACCATTTTGAATAAAGGTCAATTAAATAAATTTGGACTCTGTTAAAGTCAAACACTTAAAAATATGATGTTAGAAAAAGTATTACAAATAAATATAAAACCTATGTCATTGGATAGAGCTTGACTGTCTAGTCGCAACAGTACAAACGGAATTTAATTTGGAGAAAGTTGGACCAAAAAGTGTACCCCGACTGGGACCAAATTAGTCCCAATCAGGGAAGAGCTGTACAGACTGCGCCTCCTTCTCCACTATCTCCATTTTACGATTAATGATGCAAACCTACAGGGATTTGGCTTGGCTTCTTCCTCAATCACCTTACTATATAAACCACCATCAATCTCTCCATTCCTCACCAAAACTTAATAAGTCTAGTATCATTTTGTTCTTGAGAGTGTGAGAAATGTAGTGGTGCTGACAAAATAGTGTGAAGTCGCCGGATTTGGGAGAAATCGTCACCGGAAGTTTCGCCGTAAAATTTCCAAAACCTCCATTAAGCTTCGTGGTAAGCCCGTAGATATATCTAATGACTAGAATGTTCATATAGGTCGTTTCTACGTTCATAAATGGTCATTTGGTTGAGTTTTGTGTTTGACATGCTTGAAGAACTAAGAATCATAAACCATGAAATTGATGTTAAAATTATGAATTAATGATGCTAAAATGATCCATGAACCTTGGATAACATTTTTATATACTTTAATTGAAGTTTGGGAAGTAAAAATGACATTTCCG